CCACCTGCAATGCAGGAGACTCCAGTTCGATTCCTGGGTCAGGAAGTTCCCCTGGAGAAGCGATAGGCTACCCACTCCAGTATTCTTGCCTAGAGAATTCCCATGGACAGAGGAGCCTGGCGGGCTACAGTCCATGGGGTTGCAAAGAACTGGATACGACTGAGTGACTAAGCACAGCACAGTGTTTGCCAAAAATAGTAAAGATAAGCTGTTAGATTTTCAGAGATATCAGTAATTTGTTTAAAAATGAAGGCTTGATTAAAACTTAGAAAGTACTTTCACTTGCAAGCTATTAGTTCAGGAATTCATCCACTGGTTCTTTCTCTTGGTTAGATTTTTTTAAGTCAATAAGTTGTAAGTTACCAAGTACAAACAGGATACAAAAAGAATTCTTAAAGTCATTTCAAAGACTTTGCCAGAAATTCTCTAGACAGTGCTGTTGCTTCTACATAGCACTCCCACACCTGGCTTGCAAGGAAGCCCGGCAGTCTTGGCAAGTTCAAGTCCCACAGTTTCCCAGGATGTAAGCCTATTTAGATGTGAGTTTTATTTAGATGTTATGCTCTTAATATACTGTCAGCATAAGTCATGCTTGTTGGATGAACCTCCTGATAGTTTTCATCCCTTCGTGGTCTTTCAACTGATCATGACGTTCTAACAACAGAAATTTGAATTTGGCTAAGAACAGATCTCTCGCAGAGAAGAGAGAGAGGCAACCATTCATCTCAGTTGTTATGACAGATTGTCGCTTTTCTGAGATGAACAAAAAGTTCACACATCATTACAAAATACCTTACTGTTAGACAGTGAGCAGCAACCTAGCTCTGACTTTTCTTTTGTCATATAAAGAGAATTTTCTGGGTTTGTGTGTGTGTGTGTGTGTGTGTGTGTGTGTGTGTGTGTGTGTGTGTGTATGTGCTTAGTTGTGTCCGACTCTTTACAGCCCCTTGGACTGTAGTCCACCAGGCTCCTCTGTCCATGAAATCTTCCAGGCAGGAATACTGAAGTGGGGTGCCATTTGCCCCTCCAGGGGATCTTCCTGACCCAGGGACTGAACGTGCATCTCTTCCATCTTCTGCATTGGCAGGTGGATTCTTTACCACTAGCACCACCTGGGAAGCCCCATAAAGAGAGTGTTGGAGTTCACAAATACATCTCTGTAGGCCATGTCTGCACAGCTTATGGTTCTTCAAGTAGCCTGACCCTGAGCCCCCAGGCCCCACCAAGCCAGTCTCAGTGCACAGTTGTGTAAGAGGGGGAGAAAGTCCAAATGAGTGGATGCTTGTGAATAACCATTTCTGTAAAATTCCCAGAAAAAAATTAGATACTGTAAACACTTTAGGGCAACTTAGATGAAAACACTTCATAAAAACATGCAATCATATGCTGGAGCTAGTTCAAATACATAATCAGCAAGGCTAAGCCTCATGGTGACAGCGAACCATTGCCTTTGAAGCCCCTTTGCTGATTCAAAGCAGCTACAGTAGGAAGAGCCAAACCTTAAATTTTATCTTGCATATATAAAGAGCAAAGTGATGCCAAGAAATTCTGCAGATGTTAGTTTCCTCGGATGACAGAACATAGGTTCATTTAATAAAGAAGGTGTCATTTAGCCCCAGGAATATAATGGGAATACTCTGGTCTATGATTTGTGTGCTCAAGGTCTCTAAGTAGTTTTTCCTAATCTAAACTTGGTTGGTGCATAACATCTGTGTGAACACAATGCAAGTTCAAAGCATGATTCACAGGGACTTCCCTGGTGGTCCAGTGGTCAGGACTCTGAGCTTCCACTGCCAAGGGCATGGGTTCAATCCCTGGTTGGGGAACTAAGATACTGCAAGCCTAGCTTTCGAAGACAAAACAAACAAACAAAATCCCCAAGTATGATTCATGGAATAGTTTCCACTACAGTAAAAGCAAAACTCTTACAAATTAGGTTTCCAAGAAGGTAAACATTGACGGTTTTTTTTTTCCCTTAAAATGCATGCATGGTGCCCTATAGTACATGTATTGGGTTGGCCAAAACCTTAATTTGGGTCTTTCATAAGATGGAATGGAAACACCCTAGCGAACTTTTTGGCCAACGCTGTGCTAGCCATCTTCAATTTTTTACCCTTTCAACACTACCTGAGCACCAGCTCAGTGCAAAACCATTTACAACCTGCTGTGGAAAATGCAAAGTGAAATCAGAGGGATTATTCGTTTTCATTGTGTGTGTGGCCCCAGAGAACAGAGAAGACATGAATTTTAAAACTATGTTACAAATGTAAATGTCAAGACCCTCTGAAGAACTCAGCCAGATGAAGATGCCCTTCTAATATCAAAGGAGCAATTGCCCCATTGCCTGAAAAATGGTATGAGCTCAAAATCCAGATGCCAGGTAGTGAGACCCTGTGTCATGGCTGAGCTCCTGGGCTCAACTTTTTAAAAGGCCATCCTATGTTTTGAGAGAATAGCATTGAAACAAGTATACTATCAAGGGTGAAACAGATCACCAGCCCAGGTTGGATGCATGAGACAAGTCCTCAGGGCCGGTGCACTGGGAAGACCCAGAGGGATGGGATGGGGAGGGAGGTGGGAAGGGGGATCGGGATGGGGAACACATGTAAATCCATGGCTGATTCATGTCAATGTATGGCAAATACCACTACAATACTGTAAAGTAATTAGCCTCCAACTAATAAAAATAAATGAAAAAAAAAAAAAAGACATGGAAACAATAACAACAACAACAACAACAAAGGCCATCCTACCCAGTCAAGGAAGTAATCCTGGGGAAAAGTATTCCAAGATACTTGGATCTCCCACTTCAACCATACCACATACTAAGGGACTCCTTAGTACCTTAGTTACTGTTGTTTAGTCGCTAAATCATGTCCGACTCTTTGCAACCCATTGACTATAGCCCACCAGGCACCTCTGTCCATGGGATTCTCCAGGCAAGAAAACTGGAGTGGGTTGCCATTTCCTTCTCCTGGGGATCTTCCCAACCCAGGGATCAAACACACATCTCTTAATGTCCCCTGTATTGGCAGACGGGTTCTTTACAACTCGTGCCACTTGGGTGCCCAAGGTACTCCTAGCTGTGCATAAATATCTCACAGGTTGAGCACTTCTCACCCACTGCACAGAATATTCCATTTTTGAGACTTCAGTTACCAGGTAAGATTTTCAGCAGCAAGATCTCTGCAAAATGTGGTCTTAGACCTAAACCTAGAAGATCTTTTTTGTTCCAGTTACGGCTATACCTTCTCCTATTTTATACATACATGAACTTACTATTTCCATATTCCTATTTCAAGTGCAAAACAAAAAATTCCACCCATTCCTTGGAATTAATGGCCTTGTGGAAACACAAATATCATATTCATTGGAATAGCTGATTCAAACATCAGTAGAGTATTAATGAAGAAGGCTGCAATTCAACACTGATGAGCTAATGTCCTAAACATTTATTTTGTACACAAAGAGATACATGAGTCTTTCCTGTACCTTATCAAGGTCCCCCCTTCCCTGATATACATGACTAAATTTATACACAATTCAGAATGGTCCTATTCCAGCACAGTTATAGAAAAAGCAGTGCATGAAAGAGATGCCAGCGAATGGTGTCGCAGGCGATGAATAGGAAAACCTTTAACTCAACATGTAGGAAACAAACTAAACCCAGCGGACTGTGGGGAGCACCTCCTTTCCCTATCGGAACATCAGAGGTGGAAATCCACCAGGGTTCTCTGCTCCCTGGCACTCCTGGGCTCGGAAAATTTATCAGAAGGGAAGACGGTGAGCAGTGGGCAAGGTGGAAAGAGGGAAAGGTAAGGGCCAGCAGGAGGATGGAACGCTCGCGGAGGAGTCAGTCTGCCAGGCAGACTGCACAGAACACACACCTTCCTGGAGGAAAGGACATCTCCAGGCAAGGAGTCTGGGAGTCGGGCGCGGGGGTGGGGGTCTATAGAGCCGCAGGGAAATCCTCCAGGTGGGCCTAAAAGGCCCGGCGAGGCCCGGCATCGGTGTCCTGGGTGGATGCCCGACGTTTAGGTGTCCTGGGTGGATGACCGACGTTTACCTGGGGCGGCCTCACTCACCGTTTTGAAAAGCCAGGCAACAGAGAAGCATTCAATTTAGACCCCAGAAACGGTGCAAAAGAAGCTTTGGGCGTCCCCCACAAATACATTCTTATTTTGAAAACAAAAGACAAGCTTGTGGCCATTCTCAGAGGCGATCACATTCCTCCCAGGTCTGGAAAGCAGATTTGCAAAGGCCAAAGATTAGACAAAAGGCAAGAGCCCTGGAAATGATTTAAAATAACAACAACAAAAAATTGATTAGGGCCTCCCAGTTCCAATTCTGTCTCCCCTTCCGGGGATGATTCCTGGGCTATCCAGCAAATCCCTTAAGGCCTGGAAAAGACGTGGGATAAGGAGGGGGAGGAGACCCCGAAACTTTCCCAAACTGCGGCAGGCTGGAGGCGGGCAGTGACCGCGGACCTCGGGGTTCCGGGGCGCAGGGGGCACCCCAGGGGCGGCGGCCACCCCATCAGCCGCCGCAACAAAAGGGCCGAGCGCAGCCTTCGCGACCGGGCTTCGAGCACCCGAGCCCGGAGGTGGGGAGCGGGCGATGGCGACCGGGGAGCGACCGCTGTCGCCCGGGCGAAGCAGGAGATGGAGCCGCGTGTCCGCGTCGCGCATAAAGGACCCTCGGCTGCATCCAAACCTGCCACCCGGGGCGCCTGCAGCGGGTGCCACCCGCGCTCCCGGCGGTCCGCGTCCCCTCGGGAGCAGCTGCCCGGGTATCGCGGCTTCCCCGGGCGGCGCCACCCCGGTCGGGAGCGCGGCACGGGGCTGCGGGCCCGGTGGCGGCGGCTTGGGTTCGGGTTTCGGCCGCCGCGGGGACACAATGCGGCCCGGGAGCCCCGCCGCCTCTGCCGCAGGCCCGCGGCCGACACAAAGCCCGCCGCCGCCGCCAGCCCTCGAGCCTCTCGGGCCCCGCCGCCTACCGACCTTGGGCTCCGGCGCCAGGCTCCCGCAGCGTCTTGGTCACCGCCTTCCAGACGTGGCAGCCCAGCAGGCAGAGCAGGAGCGCCGCCGACCTGCTCATCTCCGCGCCGCAGGGCCCCGGGCGGCGCGGGCTGGCCGATCACCGGCTCGGAGCGGCGCGTCACGGGCGGTCGGCCGCCGCGCCACCCTCCATGTCGCCTGGCTCCGCGCGCGTCGGGCCCAGCCGCCCGATTGGCCGCGCCCCCGCCCGGCGCGGCGCCGGGCCCCGCAGCCCACGGCCGCTCCCGCCTCCGCGCGCCCCGGTGGGTTTCCCCGAAGAGAGCCACCACCGCGCCTCCGCCGCCGCCGCCTTAACCCCTTCGCGCCCCCGCCCGCCGAGGCGCCCAGGCCCGGGGCCATGGTGCCACCTGGCGGCCGCGCGCCCACCCGCCCGCCCGCGTCGCCACCTCCTCGGGTCCACCCCACGCTCCCGCCGACCTCGGGGGGCCGTGGACGCGACCTTGGCGCCCACACCTCCCGGCCGCTTGGGAGTGACTACACCCGCTTTTCAGGCCCGTACCCTCGCACCTGGTTAGCTGATGGCCCTCTGGAGGCACTGGGGTCTCCCCGTGTGACTTCGCTTGGTTTCTGCAGGATCGCGCCTCCGTGCAGCTCTTCCTGTCTCAATCCACCCAGGAACCCTAGGGGAGATTCCACACCCAACGTCCAAGGTCTGCGGGCACAGAAAGGCCCAGGCCATGTGCGCAGCAGGCGGCCCTCAGCGCCTAAGCGTTGACCGCCGTGAACATCTCCAGGTTGAAGATTAGGTTGCGGAGGAAATTTACATTAATTAAGTGCTTTTTACTTCTCATTTTTGTCTTCTATGATCTCTAATCTATGATCTAATCTATCTTCTAATCTATGATCTCAGAGATAGGTATTGTAGTCCCCATTTACAGATGGGAAAATCGAGCCTAAGGCGGTTTAAGGAATTTGTCCTTAGCACATAGCTCCAAGATTCCAATAAGACAGTCATGCTGGCCCTGGGTTGAATCTCTCCACAAAAAGGTCTGGAGGTACTCCCACCTCCCATCCCAACTTCCTTTCCAGAACTTGCTCATGTCTGGGTGCCTTCCTCCATACAACCCTCATGTCCCCTGACCCTCTTCCACCCCATCTCCCAACCAGCACTGTGGGGACCCTGGGACCTCTGTCCGGGACCTCTGCTCTGGGAAGAGCCACACCAGGCTCACCAGACACCCAGTGCTGCCTCCAGAGCAGTAGGCCAGAGGAGGGTTATTACTGTACTTTTATTAATTGGGCATTTAGGCATGGCAGGCACTGTACCAAAAAGAGAATGAAGGATGGCGCTTGCCCAGTTGGCTTATTATAGACAATCCTTGTGAGCTACAATAAAACCCAGGAGGAGGGGAAGCCCTTGTGTGTGTTATTCGCACCCCAAGGACCAATGCCTCAGTGAATGCAAACTGGGCACCTTCACAGGGTGGGGGGTAGTCAAGAGGCGGAAAAGAAAGCCCACAGTTAGGGACTGCCTGATACCTCCTCCTCCTGACTTCCAGTGTCAAAGCCTTAGGGTAATTCCAGAGTCCACATCAGAGCCAGGAGAGCGGAGCATGTGAGAGGACCATCGGGATCAGTCTGTCCTCAAGTCCAGCTTGGGTTCCTGCCCACAGGAGCAGAGTCCAGGCCAGCAACCTTGCTGGGTGGAAGATGGCTATTGCAGTTGGGTGGTCTCAAAGTTTTCAAGTCTCTTTTTTGAGCTGGGGGGGCTGCTTCTAAGAAAAGAGACATTAAGTCCATCCCAGAGCTGAAACTTCTCCCTTCATATCTTTTGAAAATGTGCCTTTGTCTGGGATGTTGGTTCTAAGAGACAGGAGTAGCCTGAGCAAAATGATAATAGAGAACTAGGTAGTTACACTACCTGGAACTCCTACAACATCCTGTGAGCGACGTGTCAGGTCTCATGAGGGAACCGAAGATACAATTATATTTGGAGTTCCTAGTATATACCACCCTCACTAGACTGGAGATATTTTCTCATAACAACTTACTCAGGTGGTATTATAATTCCTATTTTATGGATGAACAAACTGAGGCTCAGTGACAAATAATTTGCCCACAATATCTGGGTCTGATGGCAGCAAACTCAAATTCCCTATATCAGGTTACCTCCAAGAAAAAAATTTCTTGCCAATGATTCAGGTTACCTCTAGCTATCTTCACATTGTTTTACAAACAGGGATTCAAATCCTGGTAAGGTCTGAATGTTGTTAATAGTTTGTGATGAATGGTATTGTGCCAAGGTCAATTTCCTGGTTTTGATAGTGTGCTTTAATTATATATGATATTACAGTTGGGGGAAGCTGTGAGGAGCTGGGTGCAGGGTGTTAGGGACCTCTCTGAAGGTCTTTTGTAACTTCTTGTAGGTCTATCATTATTCAAAATAAAATTAAAAAAAAAAAAACCTTCTTCTATACTGTTTTTTCCCCTAAGATTTATTGTTTACCCAAAACACTGGTATTTGGGATCCTGAGTGAGTGATAGTTGCTCAGTCATGCCTGACTCTTTGCAACCCCATGGACTGTAGCCTACCAGACTCCTCTGTCCATGGAATTCTCCAGGCAAGATTACTGGAGTGGGTTGCCATTTCCTTCTCCATTTGGGATCGTATATCTATGCTAATATAGAGTTCTAAAACTTAAGAGTGGGAGAAGCCTAAGTAAAGACTCATTGCTTAATCTAAGCAAGTTTGGGTCACAATCAGGACTTGTAGATGGTCAAGATAACAGTTGTTATTACTGTGTGTGTAACAAAATGTCTGTGGATGACATGACACTTTAGGAGCAGTTTATATATCTTGATAGTAACACTGAGGCTTGTATAAATAGCTTCAGAACCACCAGCCCCGTTCCATTTTGAAGATGAAACAGAAAGAGGTTAAATACCTTGCATAAGAGGTTAAATACCCATCTCAAAGCCAAGGAGAGAGCTGAGGCCCCCATAAGCATTGTGTCCCCACATGGATGTTTTCTAGCTACTTGGGTGGGAGGCTAAGAACACAGAAATTTTGCAAAATCACACCATCATCTGCACTTTGCATATTATCTGCCTGGCATTACATAAGAATTAAATAATCACCCTTCTCCACTACCAGAATAAAAGAATATGGTTTACCTTTTCTCCTGTTTCAGAAACCAGACTCCCACTTAGTAACCGTGTGGTTGGAGGTGGGGGAGTCACTGCTTGGGAGGGAGTGTTTGCAGAACAATGGAAATCAGAAGTGTTCTTTCCTTCTAGAACTTTTCCTGTTGCTCTTATTAAAATCTCACATTGTTTGACTAAAGATGAATTATGACTGTACTTACTTGAAATTGCTTAGAAGTTGCCTGACTGCATTTCATTTCAATTTTCAAGTTCTCTGCCAAAAGCAGTGATGCCATATACAGAACTTTTCCTGGCTGAGTTTTTCCAGAGACCTTGACTTCAGAGGCTGTGTCAAGGCGTCTTAGTCCAAGATTATTTCTCCCCTTGAAATCTTTCCTGACGTTGGTGCCCGTGAGGTGGAATTTTAATTGTCTGAATTTATTTCAAGAGGTGTGTCTTTCCTTCTCCCCATTCTCCTCGTGACCCCCAGCTCCCTCTGGTCTGCTCCTGAGTGAGAAACAGCCTGTGAACAACAAGCTCAGTATGAGATCTGTACAGATCAGGAAGTGTGTCATGGCCATTCCAACTCCTGTTTGCTGATGCTTTTATTAAAGTTAGATAAAATGTAGCCAGAGGTGGAAATTGGAAGGGCTCAGCAATTTTTTTCAAAACATCTTGGCCGTCTATTTGGAAAAGACAATGACAAAAGGTGAAGAAATTACTGAAAAGGAACTGATGTTCCTAATGCTTGCACATTCCCCTTTATTGGTGAGTCACACCCATGTCAATCCATGAGCCTTTCAAACAGGATCTTCTTTCAGCTTCCCGAGAGAAGTTGCAAATGTGTATTAACCTACAAGAGTGACTCCCTGGGGTGGGGGATTCAGGTCTCCTGTATGATTGTTCTTCTTTACATGCCTCTGCATCCCTAGAGGAGTCTGGGATGCAGCAGTAGGTCTTGGCTGTTGAAGAGGCAATCAGAGGCTGGTGGATAGCTGAGAACCTGGTTGCCTGTTCCATTAGCTCAAACCTTTGCTGGCGATTGAATGACAGTCCTATAGTCCAGGGGGGCTCAAGGAAAGTAGGAACCTCAGCTTCTGTGGATGAAGAATGTCATCTGTCAAATCAGTAAGCAAAGGATGTTGCAGCCATCAAGTCTTCAGACTCTGTGGCCAGCCCCCAACCCTCGCTGTGCACCCTGAGGGGATTCAGGATGGAGAAAAGCAGTATCCTGGCCCCCTGAATATGCTAAGGTGCATAACAAAGGAATGATTTCAGTGAGGCCCTCTCTTGCATCTTTCCATACACAGGAATGGGCTAAATTCATTAACTGGTTATGTTTGGTGTTTCTTTAATTAGCGGTAATCTTTTTGTGTTCCAACTGCTTCCTTTGGGGGGTTATTTGTTTGCTTATTTGGTTTTTCTCCCCCCCCCCCAAATTTCAGTATTTCCTGGCTCCTCACTTGCCTTTTTGGGACAGTCCCTCAGAGCTATCTGAGAGGCTGTCTCCCAGGCTTAAGTCCCCAGTATGTCCACCAAATAAATACAATTCTCTACTTCTGGCTGCACAAAAACATAGTTAGGGAAAAGACAGGAAGCTAATGGTGAAAACGGAGAAGGTAATGAACAGTAATTGAGCTCATGTTTTTTGGCTCCTTCTGTACCCTGAACGGTGAAGAAAGCTTCACTGTGCTGTCGGCTCCAGTCAGTTTCAGGTTAACTCTATCTGAGTGGTATCTATTTTTATTTTTTTAGGCCACACACGATCGAATGTGGGACCCTAATTCCCTGCCCGGGGATGGCATCCATGCCCCCTGCATTGGTACTTGAGTGGTACTTGCTTACCCTTTTCCTTTAACATCATTTCCTCTTTGCTTAATTTTGAGGCTCTTGACCCAAAGCTACCTGCTGCCAGGTCATTTCTCCTAATGCCCTGTGCTGTGTGCTAAGTTGCTTCAGTCATGTCCAACTCTATTGAGAACAGGGCATCTGTCCAGCTCATTGCCATATTTGCAGCATCTAGAAAAAAATATCTGGCACAAAATAGATGCTCAGTAATACTGGCTGGGACTTCCCTGGTGGTCCAGTAGCTAAGACTCCAGGTCCCAAATGCAGGGCGCCTGGGTTTGGTCCCTAGTAGGGAGCTAGATCTCACATGCTGCAATGAAGATAGAAGATCCTGTGTGCCACAACTAAGACCCAGCACAGCCAAGTAAATAAATACAGATTACAAAACTAAGTACTGAATTGAAGAGGCCAGATCCTCACTCTGTACACACTGACAGCTGACTGCCAGGAGCCCCCAGGGGGGAAGCATAGGAGAGGAAAATAAAAAGTAACATTGTTTTAGAAATTTTTAAAATGTATTTATTTTGGCTGTGCTGGGTCTTCATCGCTGCCAGAGGGCTTTCTCTAGTTGCAGTGAGTGGTTGTGGTTCTCCGGCTTCTCGTTGTGGTGGCTTCTCTTGTTGCAGAGCTTGGGCTCTAGAGCCCTGGCTCAGTAATTGTGGCACAGGGATTATTTGCCCCACAGCATGTAGGAACTTAGTTTCTGGACCAGGGATCAAACCCATGTCTCCTGCGTTGGCAGGTGGATTCTTAATCGCTAGATCACCAGGGAAGTCCCAAAAG